CTCTGTGTCTGTCTGTCTGTCTGTCTGTCTGTCTGTCTGTCTGTCTTTGTCTCTCTCTCTGTCTCTGTCTCTGTCTGTCTGTGTCTCTGTCTCTCTCTTTCTCTGTCTCTGTCTGTGTCTGTCTGTCTCTCTGTCTGTCTCTCTCTCTCTCTGTATCTCTCTCTGCATCTCTCTCCCAGCCCTTTTAGAATTTTTTTGTCTACTCTAAGACAGGGTCTTGCTAAATTGTCCAGGCAGGACTCATTTTCTGATCCTCCTGCTCCAGCTTGTCTCAGTGCTACGATTATAGGTGTGGCCCACCATGCCCAGATCTACTCAGCTTTCTTGACAGTCCCTTGATTTTGATACTCAGTGAAGACACACAAGAAAAATTACATGATTTTGAAAACAGGCATGGAAAGAGCAGAATTCTACTTAGGATTTCTTGGTCTTAACACTATTGTCTGATGATTTATTTTTATACTAGTCATGTAGCTGGTGATTGCTATTTTCAAGTTCTAAAAGTAGCAACTACTTTGCTGATCCTTGCTTCCTCTTTTTACCACTTACTTTCTGCCTTGCAGTTCCCTGCAGCCCAAGTGATTCAATTCTGTTATGATTGATGCTTTTTAAAAGGAATTTGGAACATAAATTTCAGTTCAGTTTCATGATGCAAATTCAAACTTCAGGGATTTATGTCTTCGTTAATAAGGATTCCGGAAATTCTTCTCAGAGTCCACATGAAATTGAAAAAAAAATAAAGTAGAACAACTCACACAACATGTATTTAATTTTTAAAACAAGAAGTATGCATTATATTCAACCTTTTTCTTTTATGCTTGTTAAGAAAAGATGAATCACTTTGATTTTAGAACCTGTTCAGAAGAAATGCAAAATGACTAAATTTAATCTGATATTTATCAATTTTTGTTCATGTTCATGATTCCTCCACTTGATGAGGCAGTGTGTTTTCCTCTTTTTAAGTTTTATTTTTATCAGTACATATCTTCCCTGAAGAACGGTCACACGGGCTTTGGAGTGCTGGACATTGTACATTGCACATTAATTCTTTTCTTGTCTCCTTCCCCTCTCCACTCCAGCCATCTCTTTGTCGCCTTCTCATTTGCAAAAGATTTTCCTTTTCCCTACGCTAGTGTTGGTCAACAACATTACGGGCTTTATGATGAAAAATACCCTTTCTGCAGCTCAGAGCTTCAGCTTCCTACACCTGCTGCACTCATTTACTCTGAAATGCTTGGCCTTGCCTGTGATTGCTGTGATTCAGTGTAGAGTGAAAAGGATTGCTCATTTCCAGCCGGTGGTAATTATTGTATGAGAATTAGATTGTTCTGTACAAATGAGCACAAATCATCTGTTGGTGATGAAGGTAATGGATGCCGGTCCTTTGATCTCCCCTCCTCTGGGCTCGTCACACTCTCCCTTCACTTTGGTCTCTGCATGTGAGAGAAGAATTTCTCAAGTCTTTGCACTGAGCTTAGGTTTCACATTTTACTGAAGCATGTAGTCACAGCAGCTGAGTGCCGGTGTGATTTTTCTTAGATTTCAAGGGCAGGCTGATTTATTATTAATTTCATTAAATAACATGAATTAGTGTAGTGTTTCTTCACATTTCATGTGATCTTCAGGGCATGATTTGTTATTTCTACAACTTATGGTGAACTCAACTAACCAGCCCAATTGTTTACATCTGAAAATAGAATATAAAGGAGTATGGAGTAGCATTCTTAACCTACAGGGTATTTCAAGAATACTGGTAGAGCAACCTTTCTGAAAAATGTGATTTGCAAACTTTGAAATAATTTTCGCAATGTAAGGTTTCAATAATCTGCTTTCAGCCATCATGTCAGCCAAACTAGTAGTTTCTTTTAAGAGCTAAAATCCAATGGATCTGCTCAACAGATTGCTTTCTATGTGATAGCTGCAGAACATGACTGAAGAAAAGTCAATTCATTACTCTGTCCTTCTCTGAGAACTAGTTGTATGCATTGCCATTATGAATAACTATGGATTTAAATTGTAGCTCCAAGCTGCTGCTGACTCTGATTTTCTTACTGAATTTGCAGCAACCTTGCCTTTTACTGTAATGTAATGACAATTGTTACACTACATAATGACAAAGAAACACAGGAAGTATAAGGACAGCACTGATTATAACTTACTATTTTATTTGTTTTTGTTGCTAATCCACTGATGAACCTGGATAAAAAGATGAAGTCTGCATCTCTTACATTATCAATGATTGATTGACTTTAAAAAACAAATTTTCATTCATATTTTAATAATCTCACTACCCTTAAATTAGTACCACTGTGGACTGGCAGCTCATAGGCTTTACTTTGTGTGGCTCTCAACTTAGTGAAATAGACACTGTATGACCTTAGGGCTGGCGGTATAGCTCGGTGGACTAAGTACTTGCTTAGGTAAGCACAGGGGCCAGAGTTCAACCCTTGGCACTGCATGCTGCGCCGGCCCTACCCCCAGGTGTGCTGAGCCAGCGATGGAGTCCAGGCATGGTGGCGCATGCCCGTAATCCCAGAACTAGGGAGGCAGAAATCAGGAGGATCACTAAGAGTCTGAGCTGTGTAATGAGACCTTACACACACACACGCGCGCGCACACACACACACACACACACACACACAGAATCCCTAAACTGTATGATCTCAGTGGCCACTCACTTTCCTAAAATGCATCTCTTCAGTGAGATGTGACATGTATTCTACGGAGTTTTCTGAGGAACTCAGTGAGGTGAAGTAGGCAAGACCTCATTACCTCAAAGATATTTATTTCCTCATCTTATGGAACTGATGGGAGACATTTCCTATCATTGCTTTATCTGTAATGCCCAAAGTCCATGAAAAGTTGAATTTGGACAAAATAATGACTTACAAAAAGCTTTGTCATCTCAGAAATGTGGCAATGGGTGCCAAAAGATGCTTCTGGGTTCCCCTCCTCATGGCTACTTCTTTTTGGCAATTACATAATTGAGTGCTCTTCCATTGCAGCCTCCAACCTTTGGCTGGCAGAAGCCTGTAAACCACTCATCCACTTTAAAACAAGCAAGCCAGGACCCGTGACCAGGGACTCTGACCTTCAAACACCAGCTGGGATATTCTTGGTGGTGGGAAGAACAGAGTCACAACATTGTGGAAAGTAGTCATCTCGTTAATTTCCCCCTGTTCCTGAGAACACTCTTGCAGTCGCCGAGGGCTGATCCTTGGGAATTATAATACAGCCCACAGCACAGCATCTTCTTGTTTGAGTGTGTCATTAGTTTCCATTTAGATGAATGATGCTTTTGCGAGGGGATGTCTGATGAGTTCTGACATAAAGCTGTTTGCTTTGTGGAGATTTAAAACATCGCCTACCTGTAGACCTCAAATATATGTAAAACCATTATTGTACTCTATGTAAGCTAGTTTATGAGATGAGTCAGATCTCACAGCTTTGTTGAAATAGAAAAATCACTGACTGCTTAAGCTATGTCAAAGTGATTTATTTTTGCCAGAGTCAAAGTCATTGATTCACTAGCTCTTCCAGGTGAACTGAAACTGTTGGAACAGGCATTTCTGTGTTCAGAACTGACTATATAGTAGTGAGATGAGATGCAGAAAAGTAGTATACTTATAGTTCTCTTAAACATGAAAGAAATAGTTACATATTATAGAAAATTCTTTATATATCTTTTTTTTTCTATTTTAGGGAAAGCTCTACAGGGTGTTCAGGGTCTCTCTACTAGATCGGAGTCATAGTAATCCACCTGTTTACAGCTTCCCAAGTGCTGGGATTACAGGCACGTGCCACCACGTCTCGTCTCAATTGCCATGTTAGCGTGCTCCGGGGGTAGGGGCTGGCATACAGACCCGGGGATCGAACCCCTGTCCCCTGTGCCGGCTTGTTGGGGCGTGGTAAGCTGTGGAGCTATTTGGCTGGCCCTACATATCTATTCTTGACACAGCAATGATTGAGTGCCCACTTCCTCTCTCTTGACAAGCTTTATTCTGATACAATGACCTTGGAGAGCCCTTAGTTTGCCCGTGATTAAAACACTTCCTATGTATAAGTACTTGTGTGAAAATACATACGTTTTGAATATATTAAGCAAATTGGGAGAAAGACATGCTATCCTTTCAAATTAATATTACAACAATTTAGAAATTAACTAAGCCTGTTGCACTGGCATATTAACGAAGTTCATGAGACACCATTATCTATTATTATTAAATTAAAATTTTTAAGAACAAAGCACATCCAATTTATTCAGAAAGGGTCTTGGCTACAATGCAGCTATACTTAATTAGCATTTAATCTGCTTTATTATTTGTACAGAAAGGAAGGGTCTCGTTGCCCTCAGCCTTCCTGTGCACGTCTTGTTTTGCTCAATCAATTAAAGTGACAGTCAGTTCATACATGGGATTCAAGCATTATGTCCTTTTTGTCTGGTGGGTCTTGTAATATATCAAGGAGGCACCTTCCTATTAGAAGCCCCGTTATCTATGGAAGAGTGACTGATTAAGTTGTGTTTAAAACATTAAGTGCCAGTGACAGCCCAGGCAGGGTGTGGGCTTGTAATCAGGGCCTGGTTAGAAGGGAGAGAGTATGTGATGAGAGGAGAGTGGCATGTTGGGGGTTGCAGTCAGATCAGCACTCACTGGATGCAAGCAAGATGAAGGAGGATGCAGTGTGGGCAGGAATGACCAATCACTTTGAAGCCATCCACCAACCTTCTTAAACCAGGCTAAACAGAGTGCAGGAGACTTATGATTTAGTTACCAAACTACTAAACTTTCTTTATGAGGGGGAAGGCTTCTCGAGAGACAATTAACTTCTAGATTCACAAGGTGTTCTAAAGCAAGCTGGTGTGAGCCAAGGAAGCCAGGCAAACCAGGGAGGGAGCTCCACCCACCAGCAAGTTTGTATAAAAGCTCAGGAACCTGAAGTACCATCCAGAATCCAGAAGCTAACTTCAGAGAGATACCTGCTGTCTTCCTCCTGGCATCATGTCTTTCAACTGCTCCACAAGAAATTGCTCTTCCAGGCCAATTGGAGGACGCTACACTCTCCAGGCCCCAGTTTCTGTGGCCACAAACCAAGATGTTGACTGCATGAGTGGCATCTATTTGCCTAGTTCCTTCCAAACTGGCTCTTGGCTCCTGGATCACTGTCAGGAGACCAGCTGCCAGCCCACTGTTTGTGAGCCAACATGTTACCAGCGAACTTCTTGTGTCTCCAACCCTGTCCAGGTAACTTGCTCTCGACAAACAGCCTGCTCGACTCCTTGCAGCCGGCCACTCTCCTTTGTCTCTAGTGGTTGTCAGCCGCTGGGAGGCATTTCCAGTGTGTGCCAGCCAGTTGGAAGTGTCTCCACTGTCTGCCAACCTGTGGGAGGAGTCTCTAATGTCTGCCAACAAGCCTGTGGGGTCTCCAGGACATACCAGCAGTCGTTCCTGTCCAGCTGCCGAAGACCTTGCTAAGTGTGTGGGATCCAGTGAGACAGTCAAGACTCCGTGCCCTGCCAGCTGTGTTTCCAGGATCTTCCAGTTTGCTTCACGAATCACTGCCCCAGTAAACTGAATACTGCCCTATTAACTGCCTCACCTCTGGCTGCCAGGCATGCACAAGCTGCCTTTGGCCTAAAAATTCTTCTGGCTGACACTAAGTTCACTTTAATGGTTGATCCTTGGTGCTGAGTATGTCTGCCAATGTTTCCAGAGGCTGTACCACCCATAGACCAGTCCCAATGCTTTTGCTGTGTTTTTACCTTGCTGTTGTATCTCCTGGGTTCTGCTTTTGTTTCTGAAAAAGGGAGTTGTCTTGCTATATACTTCTCAATAAACCTGCATTAGTTGGCATTACAAACTTATGTCTCAACAGAGTTCTTTATTTGCAAGAGATTTTGTGACCTATGAATCACAGTTTACTGATCAGGGTCTTTTTTGTTGTGAACCTGACATTTGGGCTTAGTCACTGAGTTTCCTGCATGAGCAAGGGATTATCTTTTATTTGTTCCAGAAGTCTTTGGATACATGGTTTAGAGAGTGCTATGAGAGCTGATGGAATCATTTGTATTTTATATTTTCCTCAATATTTAGGGCCTCACAAAATGACTTCCACGGAAGAAAAAAAAATTACTGAGGAAACAAGATAGCTGACAAGGCTGTTCAATGTAGGGGGCAAATGAACTAGAATCAATTAGAGGTTCAGAGTCTTAATCAGGAGAATACAGCAGAAACCTTTGAAAAGAACCCCTACACGGTCAGCTGGGAAGGAGGGAAAAGGGAAGGAAGGGATGCAAAGAAAGAGAAGCTGATGACCAGGCTCCAAAACTTGCTGTGCCCAAAGGCAGCTCTACTTTTAGCCTCTTACTCCTTGGAGAAAATCAGACCCTAAACATGCTTAGAGTCAATAAACTTCCTTATTTTAGTACATCTGGGCAGGAGGGAGTAATAAGAAGCTTGTTGCTTATGCGCATCTGCACAGCCACTTCTCGCAGGCACTCCCCTAGCATCCGTGTGCTGATCAAGCATACCTTCGGATGGATAGGGAGCCAATGCGCTCAATCCCTTTTCTTTTGATTAGAAAGCAAGAATTGGTACCACTTGGTGTGCTTTTGTCCTTATCTTCTGTTACGTCCAGAAACACAACTCTGTATTTTCTCTTCAGAATCACACAAGGAGAACCAGAAGCTGATAATTTTTTATGGAAAATGGAGACAGATGAGGTGCCCATTTTGGGAGGAATAGATGCTTTTCTCTCCACAGGAGGTGTGTAGAGCCTGCTGCAGAGTCTGGTGATCAGTCTGTCTTGTCAGTGCTAAATGTTTTTCATGCTACTGATGGTTTTCCAGAAGCAAAATGGACAGAAGAGTTCTGTTGAGTTGAAATATTTTCAATTTTTCCTCTGGATGACTCCACTTTCAGGGTCTCCCTTATCAAAGAAGTATTTACTATGACTTATAATACTCTCTCAGTAGAGCAAGACATGGTTCTTACAATAAATTAGTTCCGTGACTATTTTTTTTTCCAAAAAGGAAATACTTTGGCTTTCAGAAAGGCTCTGATTTATTCTAAAACACACATCACTAGCAGAACCCTAAATGGCCCACTCAGTGCTGCAGGGTAAGTAGCTCTCATTTATTGTTTACTTCAGTCACTTCACATACAATTTGGAAAAGTCAAATTTTTTCCTAGGTCTAAAGAACACTTTTAAAAAATGGTTTTATTTTTTATTTTTCAGATTCCTGGGTTTCAAGAACAACACAAGAGCAGAAATGTTTTCTTTATGTTTTTATCTAAATGGTTAGTCATTTTTAATAAATGACATTGATATATTAATAATACATAAAGACCTGGGTGCTATGTTCTGATATTAATAAATACCTGTTTGGGCTGTTTATGTGACAGTGTGAAAATACTAATGATGTGGTGGTCTTGCCAAGACATTTCTTGCTTTTCTTTTTTGGGGAATCATTTTTTTTCCTCTGCTATTAGAGCTATTCTTTTTGTACTTGGGCCTAGAAAGTTCTCTCCATTCTCTGCCTTATTACATAATAAATTATAGAGTTTCAAAGTAATCTGGGGAGGAACAGTCTTTTAAAAGATAAGGTTGTGATGGTTTCTTTCTCTTCTTAGTCTAAGGCCTAGAAATGCAATTCATATCCAATATCCTGTAGCTGGAGGGAAGAAATGGAACTTCTGCAGGTTCTGTCCCTTGCTGCCAGACTTGCTCACTTCTGGAAACTCTGGTTAGAGCATCTGCACCCCTGAGAGAATGATAGCACCTCTGGCCTCTGTATACAGGAGTAACCTAGAGTGACATGTGTATAGCCCAGGTCTCAGCTGAGGTGTCTGCCACTTGTTGCTGGGTTGAAATTTCTACTGTCTCCTCTCCTGGTTGGTGGACATTGTGGCTGCTCTCAACGTCTCAGGGGAATCTGCTAGTGCCGAGGTGTCTATAACTCTGAATTTAGATGTCAGAAGGATTAGATAATTTTATGGGTCAGATTATAATTTTATAATCTTTTCTTCTTCCACCTACTTCACTCTCTTTCTTTAAGTTTTTCACTAAATGAAGTTACATAAGGCATTTATATGTCTAAGAGACTTCATTGGAAGTTGTGGAGGGATTGCATGGAAGACATTTATAAAAGAATGACAAAAACCTCAAATTTCACAAATTTTTCTTTTTTACTGGGTGGAGTACACACAGTGTAAAAGTTACCATTTTAACTATTGTGAAGCACACAATTTGGTGATGTGGAGTAGGTGCATGACGTCATGCCACCACCGCCACGATCCACTTCCGGAAGTTTTTCCTCATTCTGAGCTGGAGTCTTTTGGTTGCTGTCTCCAGAAAATTAACTCCCCTATCTCAAAACAAAATTTCTCCTCTCTTCCTCCTTGTCTCTGTCTTTTCTTTCCTCCCTCTTTCCTGCTGGTGATTTTCAGCAAACATGAGGATACCTCTATTGCTGATTCTGTGGTGCTGGACAAAGGCATTATGATTCCTGCTCTTATGAAGTTCAATTTTATACAGCAAATACACTAGGTCTTTGTTCAGCATCTTCTTCTGCAGATTTCACTTTGGGTCTTAAGTTTCCTAAAGTTTGGGTCTTATGAGTGTGAGCAGCACCCAATGCATTTCCATTGCACTGTAAATGCTTAGCAATGTCTTATATCTCATGAGATCTCAGTAAATCATGGACATTGTTTTCTTTGTATGGCACTTGATTGTTACAGATCTGTAACAGAGACTGAAGGTTTCTATTACTTCCATAATATTTACATAAAGCTTCTAAAACCCAAAGGGATGTACTGAGAGCTGGTCAAAGGGTGATCCAGCTGTACCTCTTCTGGGTATTATCCTGCAAGAGGTGAAGACATCCTGTACAGTGATACATGCCTACCCATGTTTCTAGCAGCATAAATCATGATAGCTAAACATTGGAATTATATATATTTAATTACTACTCAGTGATAAATAAGAATAAATTTGAGTCATTTGTAGGAAAATTGATAGATTTTAATACTATAATGTTAAGTGAAATAAATCAGATATGAAAAGTTAAATACTGGATGATTTTTCTTCTATGAAAAACCCAAAATATAAGTAAGGTAGAGAGCAAACCTAAAAGATAAATGACAAGAAACTGGGAGATAGACTTTCTGAAGGTAGAAGAAGGACCTGGGGGTGGAGGAGAAAGGAGGGAGAGGAGGTGACGGAGACGTGACAAGGATCAAGACGTGAAATGTACGTACACCAGTGCAGCACAATGAATGTGTATATTATGTATCACAGATATATACTAATAAAGATAAACAAATCCGATTTCCTGATAAAAATTAAAAAGAAATTGGTCAAATGTTAGGAGTGAATAGCTGGCATGCAAGGCCAGCGCGGGGGCCTCTAAAGACTCCTCACATAGGTAGATGAAATTGCCCAGCTCTTTGAACTTGGCTTGGTAATGACCTGTGTTCTTCAGATTTTCAGGAAACTTCCATCTGTGCTTAGGAACTCACAGATATCCTTTCATAAAACACATTGTGCTTTAACCACTCTGACATCCTTATTTATTAGAATTTCTAGCTTCACTATCTCTTAAAAAAATGTACCTTCTATATTTAATGGGCTAATAGTCAGGTGATGCCATAAGTGATGTTCTATAATAATATTCAAAGGAATTTTGATAAATCAAATTGGTTATATCATTGTCTATTAATAAGATTTATAGTATTTTATATTTTTATGAATTGAGAACAATTATGAACAGTACCAATTAGCACAAGTAACATACATAAAGCTATTAATAGCAGATACAATGAGGTTGTCTAATTTGTTTGGTACCTTATTAAAAATGGATGGTAAAGGTGATGAGATAGGTAATAATTACGTTAATAACTAGCACCTGTAAGAAAGATTGAAGGTAGCTTGTGATTAAGAATTACTTGTTATTAGAGTAGGTGTGGTGGATTGACAACTGGTGGGCAGCTTGTAGCATGCAGCTGAACTGAATCAGTGTGGAGTTGGGTGGGAGGGAGCACCTGAGGATCATTGCTAGCACATAAAAAGAACAGGAGAGGGATGGGTGGTGATGTTGAATTTCTTAGAGAAGTAGATAGTGCTGAATTTCCTGATATGAACTCCACTGCTCTCATTGTTAGAGGAGATTGAGACGTCATTGTTGTTGCAGTTCACTTTGGGGAGCTTGATTGTTATTTTGAGTGTGGCTTCCTGGGTCCAGTGCAGATCCCTCGGCCTGCTGGCACCCATCCTTCGTCCTGCAGGTGCATGATATCTAACTTCCACCATTGACTTCTATACTTTCCCGGGGAAGATCCTCAGTACAGACTTGCATGAGAAATTGTTGTGGGCTCCAAGCCTCCAGGTGGACTTGTGGGGGCATTTCCATGAGCTCTAGGTCTTCAGCTGGACTTGTGAAGCACATTGTCATGGTATTCAAACCTTCCACTGGGCT